TCCCACGCTGTGACAATACACTGTATACAGTGGAGTCAATTGACTGACTTCTACCTATTAACATTTACTGAACCCATAATAATGAACTACATGACTGAATAATTAATCACTAATTTAAATCCAAAAAGAACAAGCAACTTCAACAACAGGAAAAAAAGTATGCTTGAAAGTGATGAAAAATTAGCCTGACTGAAAATTAGAAAGAAGAAACGACAGCATTTTGTAAACTCCCATAGTGTCATTTACAGGAAGCATTACTGCATTTTCAGGAGAGACACTAAGTTCAAAATGGATTTCTTGGAAAGAAATGTATATGCTCATCCAGTGAGAACCACCTAAAAGCCCAGAAACTGGAAAAGGTAATTTTAATTTAAGGAAAAGGATTTGAGTACCTGAGTCTAGAGAAAATGAAGCTTCAAGTCAGACATCTCAGTTACTTATTCCCTGCTACAAGCAGCTGTAAAACACCCACAAAACAGAAGCAAGCTGTAGTGTTTAGTCAGCAGACCTGCAAATGCTTCTAAAGGAATCAAACCTACAACAGAACAGTAGCCCCTCACAGAGAACTTCTTCAAGCAGCTTAAGTTTTTATGTGGAATGCAGATGTTCCCAGTTCTCACAGTTCCATTATAGAAACATTAAGAAGCCGAAAGCTTCAAAAACACAGCTTTTATATTATTTGTTTAGCAAAAATGTATTTATTTTATAGTATTAATTCAATAACCACAGGAAGCTTATGCATTGAAGGCTATCGGCTTCACTTTCTGAGAACTGAGGTAGAAGAAATACACTCAAGGTCACCCTGGGACAGCATTTCTGTCCTGGGCTGCAGTTTGCACCGGAGCCTGCTCACTGGGGCTTCTGTGCGCTGTGTGTGGCTTTTCCTCTCCTCTGTGTGTCCAATAGCAGCTCCACCTGCTAAAACAAATAAGTTTTCCTGAACACCTGGCTGCCAGATAAGGAAACTGAGGCTTCGGGTGTAATTTGTTCCAAGTCCAGGCAAGTGTATGAATTTGGATTTTAAACTCTATTGTTTTGTTTCATTTCTATTCATGGGCTTTCCAATACTGAAGCCCAGTAAACGTCATCACATTTTTCATTTATTGTCTGACAAGTTTCCAATGGCAAACAGGCACACATAAGTGCACAGATTGTCCTGGTTAAGTACCGTTTTAAATAATGTGATTGGTTGCCTACATACACTAAATCAATGCTATCATTTTTTTCTCAGAAAATCATTCATTCTCACTGTATCAGTCTGGGTTCTCTAGAAGAATATAACCAAATAGGATGGGCATATATTAGAAGAGCTTACTAGTATCCACTTATGTTAACATAGTTAACAACTTTCAGGCATGAGAAGCTGAGTCTCATCAGATGTTGGTCGCTGAGGCTGGGTGCCTCTGCAGTGGGAGTAGGCAGACCCACTGTAGATGCCTCACACGGGAGGGACCCATTAGTTTCTCAGTCCATGATGCTGGCCTGGGAGTCTTAGCAGTCACAACCTGGCATCAAAAAACTTGGGAGGTTCCTGGAGAGCTGCCAGTCCTTGGAGAAGGATGGAAGCCTGGGGACCCTGGTCTGACAGCAGCAAAGGGGTCAGCATATCAGCATCCCCAGCATCAGCATCAGCATCTGCAGCCTCAGCATCAGCATCAGCATCTCCAGCATCAGCATCAGCATCTCCAGCATCAGCATCAGCATCAGCATCTGCAGCCTCAGCATCAGCATCAGCATCTCCAGCATCAGCATCAGCATCTCCAGCATCAGCATCAGCATCAGCATCTCCAGCAGCATCATCTCCAGCAGCATCATCTCCAGCATCAGCATCCCCAGCATCAGCATCAGCATCTGCAGCCTCAGCATCAGCATCCCCAGCATCAGCATCAGCATCTCCAGCATCAGCATCAGCATCAGCATCTCCAGCATCAGCAGCATCTCCAGCATCAGCATCAGCATCAGCATCTCCAGCCTCAGCATCAGCATCCCTAGCATCAGCATCAGCATCTCCAGCATCAGCATCAGCATCAGCATCTCCAGCATCAGCATCAGCATCAGCATCTCCAGCATCAGCAGCATCTCCAGCATCAGCATCAGCAGCATCTCCAGCAGCATCATCTCCAGCAGCAGCAGCATCTCCAGCATCAGCAGCATCTCCAGCAGCAGCATCTCCAGCAGCAGCAGCAGCAGCTGACTCAACTCCAGAGCAAAGCAGAAGTCTGAGCCAGCAAAAGGCAAGGGACGTTCCTTCTGTTGTGGCCTTTTGATCTGGGCTCCTGTCAGAAGGTGCCGCCCACACCTCTCCACATCAATTACAGCAATCAGAGCCTTCTTTTTTTAATTATGTATTTAACTTTAATCATTAACAATTACTGATCAGCTAAATCTAAACTATCATATTATTTATATGTAGTAAACCGATTATTTCTGGAATGGTCCAAGAATTCAGAAATATACTAGTAGCTTTGGAGGATGGATTTTTTAATGTTACTAAAATATAATCAAACCATTCCCTCCTGTTCCTTTTGCTACCTCTAACTCCTTCTGTGTCCTTTTCTCCTCGATCCCTACCAAATTTCTGACTTCTTTTCCTCTAGTCATAAATACAACCTGTTGAATCTATTTGGTGTTGTGTGTATGTATATGATTTCAGAACTGACCCCTGGTATTGGATAGCCAATGAAGAGGCTCATCCCCAGCTCTGATCTTCCTTTGGTTACTTGTAGGGTTTTGGCTGTCATTGTTTTGTTTTGTTGTCTAGGTCAACCCTGGAGATTCCCCTTTTTGTGTTAGCATGTCTGTTGGTGTTGGAATTATCTAGCCATCTTTTTGAGGTGACTTACAGTAAAGCTTCCTTGTCATCTCTAAGGGGAGTGATCTTACAGCAGACTTCCTGGTCCTCTGGCTCTTACGATCTTTCTTCCCCTGGTCTTTAATGCTCCCTGAGACCTAGGTACAGGAATTGTGTTGGAGAGGCTTCCATGGGCCTTGCCATCACATGATCATGTTCTCTGTATTTGACCAGTTATGGTTTTCTCTGATGACCTTTGTCTGTTGCAAAGAGAAGCTACTTCGGTGAGAGTTTGGAGCTACTGTAATGGTGGGATCAATATTCAGAATACAGTTAGGAAGTGTGCTGGTTTAGTAAATTCATGGTAGTTATGCTTTCTTCTACACCCATCATTTCACTAGCCTCAAGTACAGGGCCATGAATCCAGTAACAGGAATGGTTTTGCTCCTGTTGAGCCAGCCTTAATTCCAATTAGAGAGTTGCTGCTTAGCACCAAGGTATGAATGCCACTATTGCACCCTTAGGGAAACCTTGCCTTGCTATTCTTCCCCCTTGACAGATTGCATAGCACCTTCTAGGCCTATAAAAGTTACCCCCAAGGAGAAGACTTTCAGGTCAGGTGCTCAGAGCCCTGTATCCACAGTTCATGGTGTCTTCATCAACAGGGACTTACCTTGGATCTCTGGGAATCGACCAAGGGTGACAGCAATAGTCGATCAGGACAACCCTTCAGGTTTAACTCCCTACTCAGGTGATTCTAATGTGGGGCAAGTTGACCTTAAAACCAACCTTCACCCTGCATTCTCAAATGCATTAGCATTAACTTGTAAAAAAAAAAAAAAAGACCTTCTAACAACTGTTTTACAATTGTTTTCTTAGAGATTTATTCCATCTATCCCTCCAGTTACTGTGATGAACATTTCTCTATTTTCCCATTTGTAAAGTGTCTATTTTACTTTACTCCAAAGAACAATTTCTATATAGATCAATTTTATAAATATTTTATTGCGTAGTCTATTACTCTGTTTTACTTAATATCACTTTTTTATTTTTTAAAAGCAGATGAAAATTCTTTCCTGAATGTGTGTGGTGTAAGGGATAGTATGGATGTGTGCATGTGTTCAAGACATGAAAGTAAAAATAGAATTACTAAAGAAAACTCAGATAAAACTGGACATGAAAAACTTAGGAAGTCAAACAAAAGCCTTAGAGATAAACCTCACCAAAACAGTGTAAGACACAGGAAAAAATGCCACACATGCTGAAGACAAGACAGAAGAAATGGGTACCACATCCAAGAAAATGTTACATCTGTACAAATCCAAGTACAAAATATGTAGAAAATCTTGGGCACTATGAAAGACCAAATCTACAAATAACAGGAATAGAAGGACACAAAACTGAGGCCACGTGTACAGAAATCATTTTCAACAAAATCATAGAACAAAGTTTCCCTAATCTAAAGAAGAAGATGCCTTTCAAGGTGCAAGAAGCACACAGAACACCAAATAGACAGAACCAAAACAGAAATTATCCACAGCACATAATGATGAAAACCCTAAAGGTACACATCAGAATATTAAAAGCTGCAAGGGAAAAAGACCAAGTAACACTGGGAGGCAGATCCATTCGATAACGGTTGACTCTAAATGAAGACTCCAAAAGCCAGAAGGACCTGGACAGGTATTCTACAAACTCTAAGAAGTCAGAGGACAGCCAACCTCTCTGTCTTGGTAGAAAATAGTGCCTACATTCATCTAATCCACCCCCCTTGCCAGAAAGAACCCTCAAGTCAGACGTACATGTACTATTCCTGAAACATCTACTGCTTACCAAGCTTCTCTACCATCTTTTTGTTTGTTTTCTGAAAAAAGGGAGGAAAACTATGACTTTGTAACTTCAGTGGTCTGTACCTACCACACATCTGTCAGGACTTCTCACCATTGCTTGGGTTGTTTTGTTTGTTTGTTTGTCTGTCTATCTGTCTGATTTTAGCCTAGATCTCTTAAGTTTATTTAGTTTTGCTTATACTAAAAGATTCAAGGCTCTCATTTTATGCTGTCACCTAGAACTCACCTCTCATTATTGAACAAAAAGAGTCAGGAATGGAACTCTAAAATCCAATGCACTCAGTGATGAGTCACTGCTACCCACTGAACGTGAGAATTCCACTTTTCCTGCTAATAGGAGGACAAGTTTGTGGACTTACCTGGGCTACGGTTAATGCAATTTGGATCCGTGGGTCTTGCTCATAATCCTTTATGTTTTGCAGTGTTTTCCATATCAAGTTTCTAAGTCCATCCTGTTCCTCATCACCCTGAAGTTCCCATGACATCTTCACCATGTTATACACTATGCCATAGTACCCGACCCAGATCAACTTAGCACCTGCAAAAACGATGAGCGGGAGGAGGAAGATAATTCTGTGAGAATACACTGTCTAATAGTTGCATGAAGAAAAAGGCTAATTCTATTTTATTCACATTGATAATAATCAATGCTAATTAATGTAGGGAGATTGAAATTTAGAACACAAAAGCCACAAAATGGTTAAGAATTTAACTATATTAAGCTCCACTCTCAAGATGATCCTTAGGAAGAGTGAAGCCATTTCAATTTATTCTTACATTACTCTTTTTACATGGTTATGCTATATTTCTATGTGGTGATGCTTAACATAGATAATTCTGACTTAGGGAGCGACAGGAAAACTAAATTTGAATAACAATACAGTGTTCTGAGGAGAGATAAACTAAATTCAGTAAAAGAACAAATATGAAAATACTAAGCCTACGTGAAGAACTTAACTTCTCAAAAGAAAAAGAATAAGCTTTCACAAAAATTATAGCAGTTTTTAAACCGCAAAACTTCAATAAGAACGATTATTATTTTAAAAAGTAAGGCATTATGGCACACACCTTTAATCCCAGCATTCAGGAGGCAGAAGCAGGTAGAATCTCTGTGAGTTGGAGACCAGCCTGGTCTACAGAGTGAGTTCCAGGACAGCCAGGGCTACATAGTGAAATCTTGCCTCAAAATAAAGAATAATTATTATTTTAATTGGCATAAACTGGAGTGCCAACTAGTTCTGGATTCTAATATGCACTATAATTCTGTCATGTAGATTTCACTATATTTAGCACATAAAAGGAAATGCGTGATGTCAACTTGTTTAGAAGGCTCCCTACTGTCACACAACTGATGAGCAGTAAAATAGGTGAAGCCCTATCTAGTTTACGCCAGGCTATACATGCCTCCTTTCAGACAAGGACTCTTTCTTCTTCACACGGTACATTCACAGGGAAAGAAGTACAAAAGCAAGACAAAGACTAGGAGTTGGAAAGACAAAGTGTGTACACATTTCAGAAATTTGAGACCAAAGTTGAGGGAAGAAACCTTCCTGCAGGTCCTTCGCTCGCTAGACCGCCGGTGCATAGGTAGGAAGGGAGAAGTGCAAACCGGAGGCTGCAGTTAACTCGGCGTTTACAGAGCTTCCCCTCCCTTTGTCAACTAAATTATGTATGATTAAGGGATTGCTGTGCTCAAAATTCTGTAAGTAAAAAACAAAGGGGGGGTCTATTGCTGATTAGTAATGTTTCCCACTACAAAAACAGAATATAATCAAGAAATACAAATTTAATTACATGTTTTCTTTCTTGGGAGATAAACAACCAGTGGCCTCGGGCAGTGAGCCAGTCTGAGGAGCAACAATGACTTACATGAGAATTTGAAGAGCAATAAATCCTTGAAAAGATGACGTACAGGGACTGCCAGAGTAAGATTCTTGCTGAGGGCTGCCAGAGGAAAGAAGGGAGTTGGAGAAGGCAAGCCCTTCCATGACCTTGTCAAGTAGGGTCATTTGGAGAAAGGACAGAGAAGGATGTTGGGGAATGCTACCTGTAGGAAGATAACTGACAAAAAAGTCAGCACTGCAAATAAGTGCTACACCAGATTCCTGCCTGCCTTTGTTCTCATGTTTACTGCAGACTAAGCTGCCATTACTAACCCACCGTGTGTCATTTGTCTCTGTGTAAATCCCAAATTGGAGAGCCAGGCCACCATGGCGCTGCCATTTTAGCATACTGTTTTAAAAAACACCCATCACCCCTCATTCATGCCCATGACACTTGCAAATATACTGCAAAAAGAAAAGTGAACGCAAATACTGGAGTTCTTGAGTAAATACTTTATTCCATCGTCCAAGATTAGCGTAAATTGCTCCTTTGATTTAACCGTAAGTCTGTCCACCCAGCAGCACATCCACACTATAGCTGCCTCCTAGCTACTGGTCTGCTCACTTTCTGTTGGCCGTAGTTCTAGGAAGATGGGAATTATTTGATTCCCTCTGACACACCTAGCATTTAGCATCTCAACAACACAGTATATAAGAAGAGGTAGGGTGAAAACTGCCTCCATTTGTCTAGAATTAAGGTTTTTGTTGTTGCTGTTGTTTTTTAGATCACAGTGCTTTTGAGGTCAAAATTGGAATTGTGTTAAAGAGAATTAAGATAGTGGAATTGATAAGAGGACTCCTGGGGAGATGGAGTTCTAAAGAGAGAGAAGGGTGATGACAGAGGATTTCACACACTGAAGAAGAGTGTTCATATCCATACAGATGCTGTAGAGTAGCGAACAGTAAACTGTGTCCCAGGTAATGGCTGACATTTCAGCAAAGGAGTAATTCCACGTCCATCGGTAAGCTGGGTAGACTGGACAGGAGTTGTATGAGATAATCTAGGTCCTGGCTGCAGTAGGCAGGAGACTGGAGAGGAAGAAACAGACACTGCGCATAGGGGAGGTCACCTAATAAAGTCTTAGCTTTGAGTGGAGAGCGTGAAGGTCAAAGGTCAAAGGAGAGGCTCACCTCTAACTTAGGAGACAGAAGCAATAATCAAACCACTTGCAAAACCTGACACTGTTGTTTGGAGGAGTCAGTCTGGGGGATGAGGTGAAGAGTATTAGGAAATGAGGAAGGATGAGGCAGGAATCTGGCTTCCGATGGCTGCAGCTCTTAAAACATGGCTGAAGGAAATGCAGGAAGACAGACGTGGCTGGTACTGCTTCGTATGCCAGCAGAAGGAGATACGGGATTGGTCACAGGCAAAGGGCAACTTTGAGAGCATGGGTTTTTTGTTTTGTTTTGTTTGTATTACATTTTGAATTTATTTGTTGTGGGGGGGGCATATGCATGCCCTGGTGAGCATGTGAAGGTCAAGGAACAACTTGCAGGATCACTTTTCTCCTTCTACCATGTGGATCAGAGGTATTAGACGCAGGTTATCAGGCCTGGTAGCCAAAGCCTGCATCAACTGAGACAAGCTCATTGTCCCATTTTGAATATTTAAGTTATTTTTAAAACTGAGCTTCAGGTAACAAAAGGTTTTATAAGGTTGACTGTGTGTGTGTGTGTGTGTGTGTGTGTAATTTTATGAATCTATATGAAATCTAGGAAGAACAAATGAAGGTCGTAGGTAGTATTTGACTTTCTCAGAGTGACAACTCATTTAACACAATCATCTACAGTTGCACCCATTTTCCGGTAAACATTTATAATGAAAAGATTTCCATGCTTTATAGACAGACAGACAGACAGATTTTCTTTGTCCATCCTTCTGCTGATGAACACCTAGGCTGGTTGTGTAAGTCAACTACTGCGAGCAGCGTTGTGATGAACATACATGCCAGTGTGTTCTATACACGATCACTTGGAGTTCTTCAGATAAATACCCAAGAGTGGCTTAACTGGATTACAGGCTAAATCTGTTTAGCTTTGGGGAACATCTACATGGATGTGCTTGTGACTGGAGTATTTATGGTCCCACCAGCAATCTAGAAAGACTCTTTCCTCTTGTTTTCCTAATTGGCTACCTTTCTGACTAGGCGAGAAAACTGCAGCAAAGCTTGACATTGCATCTCTTTGGTGACTGAACACTATTCTTCATTTTCACTGCTTTTCAAAACTGCCAGTTCCTTTTTATTCCTTTTTATTTATTTATAAAACAGGCCTGTTTATTCCATGGTGTTTGTTGACTTGTTTGGTTTCTTATGTAGGCTTTTGAGGGACATGAGCCTGCTTCGCTCTTCCATTTCCCCACAGAATCTCTTCCCATCCTTCAGCCTGAGTTTGATGTCTTCAGTGGTAAAATACATTCCTTGGAGTGCGCAAACAGACCCCACTGTTGTTGTTTTCAGTCTAGCCTGCTAGTCTGTGCCTTTTGACTGAGGGACTGGGGTCACTGATGCTTAAGAGTTATTGAAGGGTGTGCACCCATTTGGTTTTTTAAGATCTTGGTGTTTCTCTGTTCCTCACTTATTAACTGTTCTTCAGTCTTTAAAAGCTGTTTATGCTTTCCTATTGCCCCATAAACATGCTTATCTTTCTCTTTAGTCCAAAGGATTTCTTCAACGTCTTCTGTAAAACTGGCTTAGTTTTCAAAGATCCCTGGTTTGTTTTTACTATAAAATCTTTTCGTCATCCTTCAATTACAACAGCTTTGCCACATAGAGTAGTCTGGACTTAAACAGACAATGCATACCAATCCTCTAGCTTTTAAAGTTCCTGTTAAGATATCTGTTGCTATTCTGATAGGGTTGCCTTTATGATCTGGTGTTTCTCTTACAACTGTCAATATCCGTTTTTGTAGTGTCTGTCTAGTGCTTCAACTATATAACATTCCAGGGTCAGGCTCTAGTCTCATCTTGTCTGTTTGGGATGCTAAATGGCTGTTGTACCTCGGTGTAAATATCCTTGTACAGACTTGTGAAATTTTCTCTTATGGCTTTTTAAAAAAATGTTTTCTATGTCTTTCACGTGAAATTCTTTTCCTATTTCTATGTCCGCAGTTCATAGACTTTGTTTGATCATAGCATCCTGCAAATCGCATACATTCTGCGGGTGCTTTCTTACTAGTCACTATCTGAATAGTCAGCTCATCTCTCTTGTCTTCAAGCCCTGTTTTCTGTCTCCCCTTGATCCATTTTATTTCAGAAGCTTTCTGCAGAGCTTTTTATTCCACACCCTGTACTTTTTATTTCCAGTCGTTCATATTGATTTTTTTTCAATATTTATTTATCATTATTAAATTCCATTTTGTATCCATTTCTTCTTTTCGTTCTGTTTATGTTCTCTTAGAATTCATTCAAGTGTGTATTTGTGGCTTCTTAGGTTTATTTGAACAAACTTAAAATTAATGTTTTACATCCTTGCCTGGGGCATCAACTAATTTACTCTCATTAGAGGACACTGTGATTCTTGGGGGAATCACATTGCTTTGGTTTTCCATGCTCCTTGTGTGTGAACATTGGTGTTTACACCTATGGAGCTAGATTATTGGCTGGATGTGTCTTTTAATCGCCCCCATTCACTCAATGGGAGTGTTTGCAATGTT